TCCTGGCTCTGGGGAAGGCAGCTTTCCCTCCTGGGGCCTCTAGTCACAGGACAGCCTGAAGGAAGGCAAGAGCCTCCTAGTTAGATTGCTGGGTGTGGGTGGGGTAGGGTGGGGCAGACCTTCAAGAAGAAGATTTTTTCAGGTTATTAATCTTCTTGTTTATTTTCCTTATTGTACTTTAGATGAAGGTTTACAGAACAAACTAGCTTCTCATTAAACAATTAATACACATATTGTTTTGTGACATTGGTTACCAACCCCACAAAATGTCATCACTCTCTTCAAGGGGAAGATTTTAAGATGGTACTCAGGCAATGCCCACAGGTGCCAAGAGGCCCCAAGGGCCAGGTGACAGGAGCATGGAACATGTGGGCAGGTGAGACTCATCTTCCTGATGCCCCTGAGGCAGAGTGGGAGAATCAGGACTGCGGAAGCTTCCCTCGGGGCAGTGGGGCACTCGGCTGTAGCTGAATGAGTGACAGGCCCCCAGCTTTGCTATTCTGTTTTCGTAGCTGGGTGACCTCAGTCAAGTTAAAGCCCATCTCTGACAGTAATGCCTGCTGGGACTCAGCATGGGCTGGTGCCCATCCTTGCATTTCCTTTCTGTCCTTGGCTTTCCTGGTACCAAACTGAAGGGCCCCCGGAGGACCAGGCCTCACCGAATGACTGCATGCTCAGTCTCTGGCTTCCAGGCGCCTGTGAGGTAGCTGGACCAGGGGCAGACCTAGAAGAGCAGGTGGTATAGATGTGGCTGGCAGGGACAGCCCCAGGCCACAAAGACCCCCATGCCTCTGGCACCCCACCTAGTCTGGCACCATTCTTGCCATGGTCACACCAGCCTTGTCACGGAATCCCATGAACACGTCAGTCTTTCTTTCTATTGCTGCCCAGTGGCTTTAATGCCCCCGGCCCACTCCTTCAACTCCGGGGACCTCAGCCCTTCACCAGGGCAGACAGGGGCAGTTCCTCCCCGCTCCCAGGCCCCCTCACCTCGAAGTGCATGTTTTCCTGCAGCAGCCTCTTGTAGAGGGCCTCATCCTCCAGGGTGTGGTAGCCATGTCCCACCCTCTCCGTCTTGAGCCTGTCCACGGCCTGCAGAGAAACAGAGTGGAGGCCAAGCATGGGGGAGGAGGAAGCAGGGAGGAAGGGGCCCCACGGCCGGTGACCTTCTCACCTGTCTCACGTCTTCAGCTGAGCCGACCTCCCCGGCATGGACAGTCCGGTGAACGCCACTCCTCACAGCCTCCTGAGAAGGTAAGAGCCAGATCATGGCAGCCCCAGCCTTCACTACCCTGTGGGCCCGAGTGTTGGCAGGCTCGGACCACCCACAGTCAGGATGGGTTGGGTTCAACTCAATGGGAAGTCTGGTCTTTTTGCTTAATCATTATTTAAAGACAGCTAACATTGGTTAGATAGCTACTATGTGTCAGGCACTGTACTGATTTGTGTACATATTATTCACATCTATTATAATTCCTGTTTTATGGGGAGGGGGTTACCGAGTTCAGGAAAGTTAAGTAGCGTGACCAAATGGCTGCGAAGTAGGGAGCCAGTTCTGAACTCTGGCAGTGGGACACCAGAACCCCTACTCTTAGCCACCACACTGCGCCCCTTCTACGGGAAGTACCTGGTGAGACCTCAGTTTTCACTCAGAGGAGTACACGGAGAAGGAGACGGTCTGGCTTAAAGTCACACAGCAAATCATAGGCAGAAACAGGCTCAGACTGAGGCTCCCAACATCAAGTGGGGTCTTTTCTGTACACCAAGCTCTCCATCTCAGAGCCCTGGTAGCACAGTGGTTGAGCTTGGCTGCTAACTGAAAGGCTGGTGGTTTGAACCCACCCAGCAACTGTGCAGGAAAAAGCCCTGGCAATCTGATTCCATAAAGATTACAGCCGAGAAAACCCTGTGGGGCTCTGTCCCATGGGGTCAGTATGAGCTGGAATCAATTTGATGGCACCTAACCAGCCACAATGCACTGGGGAACCCAGGAGCCTCACCCTCCCCGTTGGGTGACCCCTCCCCGCCCCTTCCCACAGGGCCTACCTTATAGGCCTTCAAGTGGCCTTCGAAGAGGCTACTTCCTTCGATGGTCTCATCTCCAGCAAGGTCAATGGCCACCACGTTGTGCCGGTACTTCTTGCACAGCTCCACCACCTCAGGGGACCAGTCTGTGGGCAAGATGTCCCCGGGCCTTGTCAGCAGTGCTGCTGAAAGAGCTACCTCCTGGCCCTCCTGTTCACCCCACCCCTGCTCACTCCCACCCCACCCACCCCAAGGCCAGGGCAAGACAGAGGGCCCAGCACGATGTTTCAAACCCCAACTGCCATACCCAAACCACAGACCTCTGCCTAGTTGCTCTACCCAGAGCCTCCCCTCAGAGGGACACTACCAGCCACCTCAGGGGTTGGGCCAAGGCCATGCATGTAAAGCAGGGAGGGCAGCGTCCAGGCTTAGTCATTCTCTCACTTCCTCCCCACCACAGCCCTACAGGTGGGCTCACCCCCACTCAGCAGATGAGGACATGGAGGCCCACAGAGTTTAGAGGACCAAGGACACGGTTTGACATTTAAACCGAAAACAGATCTCACCTTCAGAAAAAAACAGAACCTGATTCCAACTCATCTTGACCCTATAGGACAGAGTAGAACTGTCCCACAGGGTTTCCAAGGAGCAACTGGTGGATTCGAACTGTCAACCTTTCGGTTAGCAGCCGAGCTCATAACTATTGTGTCACCACAGCTCCGTTCTCACCCTAGAATTACTAAATGTATTGATAACATATTATGCACTCTTGAGCAATAAAGGCATCATGAAATGTTTTTAAAAAACAAACAGAGGCTTTGGAGCCAGATGGCCCTGGGTTCAAATCTGGGCTTTGTGCCTTCCTGACTGAGTAGGAACAGGCTTCACCTCTCTCTGCCGCAGCTTCCTCGTCTGTCAAATGGGCATAAACAATGGTTGTCCTACCTACCACACAGGCTGCTACAAGGATTGGAAAAGTGCACCCCAATCACTCTCCACGGAAGAGGCCCTGTAGGTTGGCGTTAGCCCTTTGCTTGGTTTTCTCTTTTGTCCTTAGAGCAGAGGAATGAGGTAGGTAGGATTATCTCCCTGTGACAAAACCTGGCTGAGATCAGAGAGGTGATGTGA